GATATATATATATATTAGCATGTAGCTTACTAGATTTGATTTATAGTCGGATCTTATATTTAAAACCGTTTTATGTTCAGTCTCTAAGATGTGAACCAATTAGAAAGTATTAATATCTTAAGACATTCCTTAAGACAATCTTAAAATACTAACGAACTATAAATACCGTCTTAATATTACAGCAGATTGACATTAACTGCATTAATATTAAGCTTGTGTTTTGTCAATGACTGTGTTCTATAGAAAAAACAGCTTTGCAACTGTTGTAAGATTTTTTTATATGATTAGTTATATATTTAGATCCAGCAAGGAATTAAGAGCAAGAACTAATCATGTTAAAAAAATGTTACAATAGTTGCAAAGTTGTTCTTTTTTTGCTAAATGTAGCTAATAAAGCTGTATAAGTTGTCTTTTATTATATTGAAAATCTATAGTTACATAATTTATGTTACATTAATTATAAAATTCCAATACTTATGCAAACTATAGATAAATTTTCAGCAGTCATAATAAATAACGAAATGCAGCCATAATCTCAATAGAAAATTGTCAATGAAAACCAAAATCTGTCTATAGACTTGTACCTTTTAGCTAAATTTTTTACAGGGTTTATCCTTGTTCTCTTACTTTTCACTTTAAAGAAAAAAAAAAGAGAAAAGATAGAAGTAAAGGCTCAGCTAAAAAAAATTAAATTTAAAATCCAAATCATTCTGTTCAGTTTTTATAATCAATCTACCATCAAGTTCTATCAGCAGATTCTGTTATATTTCGGCTGGCACTTTAACGACAAGATTTGTAACGTAACAAACGTTTTGCAAAAACGCGTTGCTTTCAACGAATTTCTCTAGGAAGTTAACTCCGATATCAAGACGTTTTATTTCTAAGCACGTAAATATATTTATAAAAGCATGATCTTTTTCTCTCACCAACTGGACTATGCCCCAAACAGACAACACTAAACCGCACAAGGCGTATTTGGGCCCGCAGACCTTCATCCTGCTTGACGAGATCGTTCGTATGGAGTGATCAAATTTAACCAAACGACTTCGTCGTTGCTTTACACGAACCCTTGGTGATTAACCGGGAATGTGAACGAGATGACCTAGGTATCAGCGTTCGCTAATACCCTTAGCTGATCGCCCGTCGTAACACTCGTGACAATCTGACGATACACCGCGATGAGGGTTTGTAATCATGTGACGTTTAATGAGGTCTGTTCAACTTGCTTACACTTTTTACACTCAGCATCTTCGCTTTCTCTCTTTTCATCGTCAAATATATATCTATCTCATTTTAAGTGTAAAAAGTGTAAGTCGAACAGACCAATGATCTCGACAATCACTCGAAGTACCAGCGATATATCGATAAATCGTAGCGATCTATCCGTATACTTAAATTTACCCAGTTGGACGCCAGTGGGCGCCAGCTAATCAGCGATAAGCGCGCCAAATCGCGGATAAATGGTGTAATCAGCAGGTTTTCCAGATACGCATTCTATCGCCAGATACGCACCAACACGCACGGGTTTACGTACTGAATGTGATTCACGCATCTTGCTGTTGTCAACCCTGATTCATGGGATCATGGTCGACCGATTGGGTTAGTTCGTGCTCCGTTTATTAGCATTTAATTAATCGCGTCTCGCGAAAAGACGAGGCCGCTAGGCATCCCGGACAACTCGGGAAGGCTTACGCGTCCCGAACGCGATCGCGAACGGACAGACGCGGGTGACGCGCAGCCGTCTCGGTCTCCTTGTGCGATTATGCGCGCGAGGATAACGGTCTCACGGGCTGTCAGCTTCGTGTTGCGGTGGGCCGTGTGCTTTTGACAGCTCCGGACAGTCCGGAGTAATTCCGCTCTGTTTAGCCGCACGCTTCCCTCCTCCCCTCTTGCTCTCGTTACGCTTTCCATATTTAAAACGTGACGTCTCGATGAAGAGATGGAAGAGATGAAATTTACACGGGGTGTGAAAAGTGCAGCTAGAAAGAACGGGCCTGACGTGCCTCGGACGTTTTCGTTCGTTTGAAACGTGGGTGTGTTGGGAGCGTGACACTGGGATGACATTCTCGTTAATATCTTCCCTCCCCCATCCTTGGGGCTTGATTTGTTTTAGTAAACAGCGAGGCCAATGCCAGGCGCATCGCGATGGTCGAAAACTGCTTCGGCGGTTCGGGTCAGGTAAGAGAGATTTATGCGAGCAAAATTTATAAATTTCTCGAATGTTTGTAACTAGCTGTAGCGATGACTCACTTATGAAACATCCATCTTACAGCCACTCGCAGTACCCGGCCGAGTCCTGGTGGGTGAAGGGGTCTTGACAAAAATGTGCAGGAAAAAGCCCAAGCCTAGACAGTTCTTCCTGTTCAATGACATATTGGTCTATGGAAATATCGTGATTAATAAGAAAAAGGTATGACATAGAGAAATTTTTTCTGTTTGTCTTTTATGGATAAAGCCTATGATGTAGAAAATGAATTCTATATCTAACATTGGCTGTTTTCAGCAAAAAAAGCAGCTAAACAATAGCTTTGCAACTATTGCAGAATTCTTGCTGAATATGATTAGTTCACATTTAGATCCTGCAAGGAACTAAGGGCAAGACTAATCATATTAAAGAATTTTACAACAGTTGCAAAGCTGCTTTTTCTGCTAAATGCAACCATTGATATATAACAGTAATAATAGTGATAATAATAATAATTTGTTTATAGTATAACAAGCAGCATATTATACCACTAGAGGAGGTAAAATTAGAGTCTCTGGTTGACGAGGGTCGTAAGTACATTATATTATTTGTAACTAATACTTGTATGCATATTGCAATTTTTGTTTGCTCCTTCTATGTTTCACAGCCTTGGCCATAAATATAAAGCATCTTCAATTTGTATTTTCTTGAAAAAGGTAATAGAAACCAAAGAATTAGCAGAATATTGAAATTGTAGTGTTCTTTTTGGCTGAACTGTTGCACCAGCTTATCTTTCTTCCTTTTCTCTCTAGGGGGAAAAAAGAGGAAGAAAGATGAACTGGTGCAAAAGTGCAGTCAAAAAGAACAGGCCTTGTTATAAAAATAAAATTTTTCATTAGTTTTTTATTTTATTAGGTATAGAACATTTAATACCAATTTGTGAAGATGCTTTATACTTGTGGTTAAGGCTGTATATGAAATATTTTAAAAATATCTTTTATATTCCCTCTCCCTATCCTGTAACTCTTGACAGTGTCGCTATTGTTATATTGCATAGGTATGATAAAAAAAGCTGTGCAACAATATAATAACAATATTATCTTCAAAAGATTACAGAATAAAGGTATAGAAAGATTTAGAGAAAAATTTTGAAAGCATCTATATAGATATCTATTCCAATGTTATTTTTCCAATACTTTTGATAATTTTTGTTAAAAATCACAGAAAACTTTTACATGCAAGATCTCTTACAAAAAATAAATAAAAATTTTGAAATATATTTTATTGGATTCTGTTTTTGAGAGAAATGACGCATTTACTATTAGTTTTTCAATTATACGGCGTATGGATCAGTAATCAAATGAGATCATATATGCATACCTAGAAAACAGTAGTATAGTATTGGATCATTATTTATAGAATATCGTAATGGATGGCTCATTAAAACAGTAACAAAGTCGTTTGCTGTTTATGCTGCTACTCCAACAGAAAAACAAGAATGGATGGCACATATCACAAAATGTATTGAAGATTTGTTAAGAAAAAGTAAGTAAAATTCAAATTGTTACAAATTTTTTAACGTTAACAAATTTTAAGACGATAAATTTTTAAATTTTGCAAATACGACTGATTCTTTTTAACTTTATCTTTTTTATTTTTCTTTATTTTTTTTAGGTGGCAAAAAGCCTGTCGAAGTCCATGCAGCGGTTTGGGTACCAGATAATGAAGCTACAATTTGTATGCACTGCAATAAAACACAATTCACAGTATTAAACAGACGGGTAATGATAAAATCATATATTTATTATTTGAATGGAAATTGCTGAAAAAACTTAAACAATCGTTCTTCATTTCAGCATCATTGTAGACAATGCGGAGCAGTAGTTTGTGGTCCATGCAGTAATAAAAAATTATTATTGCCTGGACAAGGAAATGGGAAAGCTGTCAGGGTCTGTTTGCAATGTTACGATGCCGCTAGTAAAATCAAGGCTATACCAACGACTGCTGTGGATAGCTTAAATAACAAAGACCCACAACGTAATTCCGCTGACAGTTCAGGAGGGGATAGTTCTGGAGATGACGATGATGGAAATAAGGAGGAAAACCATGATGAGGTAATTAGGT